CACACTCGCACACACACACACACACACACACACACTCGCACGCACACACACACACACACACTCGCACACACTCACTCACACACACACACACACACACACACTGCCATACTCTAACGCTCTCATCTGCTTCTTCAGAGATCATCCAGCTGGAATCGTCTGTGGCAGGAATCACACTCACAGGAATCACTCTGGCCACCATATTAATCTTCACCATTTTCATCAAGTGCAAGAGAATCAAAAGGTGAGTGTGACGCTGCTGATGCCTGATGCACCTGGGAGGAGTCTTCAGTGAGTTCACAACACAAACAACTACAATATAACTGTAACAATAATGATAATTATAACGATGACTATAGCGATAGCTATTACTATAGCAATACCAGTAATAACAATAATGATAACTATAATTACAACACAATAAAACTACAATAACAAAAATAACTACAGTGAAATGATAACAATAACTACAACTATAATAACTATAACTGACTATAAAAATAACTTTACACTAACAATAGCAACAATAACTAACTATAATAATAACTATAATGCAACAATATATAAAAGAGCTGACTTACAATTATCCCACATGACCTCTTAAGCAGAAAATGATTGTAAATTATTTCAGTGAGGACAAAGAAAGTGTCAGGTTATATGAGAGACTTTACATCTGTTAGGATCTGTTATAAACACAGAGTGACAGTATTGGGCCACAGGAATGTGGCTTCTTCACCTTTCAGGGTCCAGAAGAACGGTTCCACGTATATTCCTGATCCCTCCAAATTCTTCGGTGATCTGAACTCGAGCCACGGAGGGAATTTCACGGTGAGTCCCGCGCCTCAGATTAAAGCAATAAGCCCCAAGAAGCCGTGGTTTACAGTGAATTTATAACAGCTAAGAGGCGTTGTTAGGTACTGTTACCTGTTAACAGAGCAAATAAAGTGTAATGATATTAATAAAAACAGTATTCTTCCACCAAACAATGTAGCTCCTCAGAAACAGTTGTGGTTGCTACAAAGTGGT